TTAACAATCAGAAGAGGACAACGCTGAACCAAGTCCAGTCCATTGATCCGGTGCAACCGGAAAGTATGTATCAATGGCATCGAAAAATCGCGTACAATACATTTCTGGAGAAATGACAGTAGGCAAGTGTGCCCCAGGTATTGCCACGATTTTCACCCAACTCTCCAATTTTTTGTCAAGTGTATATGTACGCATATAATCCACAATACCAAGAATTAACTCGCTGTTCGTTTCATCTACGCCAACAAGCAAACTGTAATCCATTACATGCTAAAACAAAAATTTTAAACGAAATTTTGAAACAGAATGCGTTGAAATTATTGGTGGTAGTTTCTTCTAGTCTTCATTATTAGGATTAAATTCAGTCAACTACACCGAATGATATGCTTTCTTAGCAGTTCTGTATGCAGATTTGTGTACGGTGGACATGATAATGACAGAAGAATAATTTCTCATGCGCATTCTAAATCATAATGGACTTCACTAATTAATAAATTAAGTTTAAAATACGACAGAAAACAAACCTGGGCAGAAAGGAAATGGCTGTCATTACTGATAGCCATACTTAATGCTGCCTTAGAATGAGGATGTACATAAAGTTGATTATTCCATAGATCTTTTACTAAATTTTCATCCAATAACACTAGATCTGCCGTTCTTTTTCCTTCCGATGCCATCCTATAAATTTTACAAAATGTTCGAAAAATACATTAGTAAAATGAAAATCAGATTTCTATTTTTGAAGATATGCAAACCTATTCCTTTGTGAGCCTTTCAAATCCCACACTTGTTTCACATTTCGGCGATAAAATAGATATTCCATAACCAAAACATCAACTTTCAACTGTTGACCATTACTCTTGTTCTTGTAACAAATCCTGTATACCCCATAAACCTAAAATTATTCCCAAATATTAGCAAAAAGTAAAACATTTAGAAGATCTTTTAATTTATTATATTCCGTTATAATTTGCAATTTTGCAATTACTATCCAATATACAAGTAGCTTTCAACTGGCGCTGATTGCAGGTAGCTAAATAACTGACAAATTTCGTGTTAGTTAAGGCTGCCCTGCTTCATCATATTTTTAAGTTCATTAAACATGATGCTCTGCTTTCCATTTGAAATTAGTTTTTTAATCCCATCGTATTATTTCAATATGAACTATTTCACTAATCACATAGGTGTACCTTGCAAAGTGTTGTCAATTTATTATCAGTCATAGCGGTAGAAACATAGCTAAAATAATTAGGACCGAATTTCACAAACGACTGAATTTCGAACCGAGACATCTGCTTGAATACAAACCGATCATCCTGTAAACAATAGAAAAATATTACCGAATTTGTTTGCTTTCATCTCTTTTATAGCATAAACTATTCGTTGACAGCTATAATCTATTTTTTCGCGCAAAAGCTATCCAAATGACAAAGAAACCAGCCTGTGTGCGATAAAATGAAGCTCCAGATTTGCCACCCTGAGGACTCCAACTATGGGATGAGCTTAGCGACCTAACAAAGCAGTCTTCACCTTCGACAAATAACAACTTCCGCAACATATGGAATCTTTCAGCGTAATAAATCTGAAATGCTAATATGCACTATAATACATTCTAATGCATTAAATAATGGTACGTAAAATTAAATTAAAATATAGATTCAAAAAATCACGTAAAATTAGAGAGAGTAACTCAAAGATTTCAATAAGCAAATCCAATATAACCATACCTTTATGTAATATTGTGCCTTATCATCAGCAAAATCAACTTTAATGTGTTCGTAATTTGCCACTGAATCTGATTCCACTCTAAAATTGATCAGTTAAACAAAATTTTTTCATGATGAATACTTTGTTAATCGAGAATCATAAAATCCTCCTGACATTATTAGTTAGCTTCTCGTAACTTTCAAAATTAAAAATTTTTAAAAAATTTTGAAATATGTAGCTGCTGGAACTTAGAAAAAGTCAAGTTCAAGCGAATGTTGTTCCAGCAGCTACATATTTCAAAAACATAAAAATATTTCAAAAATTTAAGATAGCCCTTACTCAACAAAAACATTACAAGCAGAATCACGTTGTTTCCTTCGCTTTGTATTATATTCAACTGATGATAAAGCATAAGCTATAATGGAACCAATATCCGGATGAGTTGCACCCTTGTGATCAATCACATCGCGCACGACTACTGCTGCCAAACCGGCTATAAACAGTGCATGAAAATGATATATCACAAAGAAAATAGTATATCGAATTTGTTACAATGTATTAGAACTTCTAAATACTGAACAATATTCTTCTAAAATCATAAAAATTATGTTAGTGAAATACAAAATATGTAATTAATTTTCAAGCGTACGAACAAACCTGATGGTAGAGGCAAACTGAAGTGACACTCGGCAGAGAATGGGCTATCCAACGGCATGAGTTCAAAATCTAAACTATTAACCTGTGTATGACTCGCTGAGAGTGTTTGCTCATTATTTACTTTGTTTGCTTCCTGAAACAGGATTATGTCGCCTACAGATGCGAAGATTAAAAACACTATGGTTAGTTACAACTTCAACATCTATAAATACATGTTAAATGAGTATTTAGAGTTTTTTTTATTTTAACAATTTATTTACTCCATGATATGAAGAAGAATGATTAATCTCATTAATCCATCAGATAATGTCAAAGATGAAGTGTCTAACCACACTTCCTCTACAGTGATGTAAAATCAAAATTTACCGTCAGAATACCACTGCTATTGCACTTTTTAATAGTTCGGATCTGTTGAGAAAGATACTGACGCTGTTCATTCCATAAATTTATTGTATGTTGGACAATGTATCGACAACGACAAATCGTATCAATGGCCTGTAATGACTTGAATGATATGCAAAAAGTTTTGTATTTCACTACCTTGGCCCAATACAGATTCGCAAACTTTCTAATTCAGTTGGTATTTATACCTCTATTAGTGGATTCAAATAAAAAACAAATAATTTTTAAAAAAGACCTGAGTATAAACAGCATCATTTGACCGAATGATTATTGGTTCACTAGCAAGCGCACCACTTGGGTCAAAACACTTTACTGTTGAGCTAAAAAACTGCAAATCAACAAAAAATAATACAAAGAAACATTGAATACTTTCAAATAACTTCATTGAGAATTGACCTGAAGGTAGAGTGAGCGTCTCTTAAAATTTTTACTGCCTGTGAATGACATGCTGAATACACGCTATTTTCAATATATTTTGACAATTGTTCGATTTGTTCTGACATAATTTTGAAGATGACTGCTGCTGTTTCTTGTATTTCATTTTTCGATTCGACGACAAATTTCCGAGTAAATATTATTGGTTCAACAGCACAAACCAATGGACTGAAAGTCACATGGAATGGACGCACCTGCAAGACAAAATTCAGTATATCTAATAATTATTATATGGTGAAAGTCTAAATTTCAGAAGCGACAATTTCCGTTCTTAAATTATTCCTGAAATTATCTTAACATCAAGCAATAATTTTATCTTCGTTTTCATATATAACATACAAGAGATAGAAAATGGAACCAGTAAGACTTTGAAAGTTGTCACCAAGTTGTTGAGGGCAATATTGCGTTCATGCTGATGAAAACAACAATGTTCACATTTCTAAACAAAAAATAGTTTCAGAAAAATGCAGTTATAAACATAAACTTTGGTAATGTGGTTTTTCCTATATTTTCATTATAATTATTGACTCAAGTAAGCCATACTTTTCCTAAACTAGTGGCTAAAAAGCATAAAAGATCGGAATGCATACTACAACAATTCGAAATATGAAATGAGACTTAACAGCACTAAAAAATTTACTCTTCTTTAACAGTCTCTTCCAATTCTTCTTCAGCAACGCTTACACTGAAGAACCTTGGTGCTGTATATGCAGTGGAGAACGACTGCAGGCCGACAAAAAGGAGAAATGAAGTTGTAAACGAAAGCAAGAAAAAAAAATGTTAGATTCAACTATCATAGAAGAACTAGAACGCCTTATTATTCTCGAATGATTCAATTACCCCTCACAAAAAAATTACGAATAACAAAAAAAAATCTCGCTCACTTGTAAAAGTGAATTGATTTTGCATGTTGCGTAAGCACCATTTGCTAAATAATTCAGATAACGAGCAAAACTCAACCGACATATACTTTCTGATAGCGGTACTACGGAGGATGATGATTTACACCTGAAGAAAATAATGTGCTGAAAAAATATAAACGCAATACTCAGTATATTAGAATTTTCTAAAAAAAATGGCAATTTCGAAATTCCAAATTCAGCAAGAAACAAAAGAAAAATAAACCTTGAAATGTAAATGATGCTCGAATTTTAAGACAAATTGATTTTAAAAAAGTTTTTATCACAAAATTTATTCAAATTGTAACTTGAAATTTTGAATACTTTGGGCAGTAATGCCATGCAAGTAAAGTGTCGTTTTGCTCATCCGGTGCTGCGTTGCTGGATTCACTACTTAAGTGCATATAATTCTGTGTTGTTATTTCTACACAAACATTCCTATGAACCAGTCTTCGAGAATGTTCCATCATTGGCAAATCACAATTTGTAGATGGACATTGGTATGCTTTGTTAAAGCAATACCTAAAATGATCATAAATCCAACATTAATCTAAAATAAAATAAAGTATGGGAGTAATTTTCTGTTTTAACAGTGCAAAACTTGAATGAAAAGATGACAAGCTTTAAGAAATTTAGATGGAAGATGACAAACTTTCTCAAGAAATCACCCAACGACATATCATTAGCACCATAATAGTCCATATTTACAACCCAAGGCCGAATGCAAAATAGTGGTGCATTCGGCGATTTTGCACAGAATGATCCGAAAAGAACTGATATTTGTTGATGAGCAAACGGATCCAGCACATCTTCAACTTCTCTACTAGGAATTGTTTCTTTTCTGCAATAAATATTTATAATCAACATTTTAATGTATTAATTTGCGTCTCCTAACGAGATCATCATCTTTGTAAACAATGGACACCCCATACTAAAGTTGATGTACGATTCCAAATTTTCTAAAATTTAATGCTGGTGACCCATAAAGATACTGCTACCCTAAGGATTAATATCATAATTTCCTATAAATTAATCTTCATCACCGTATTCTGTGTTAAAAAAATTCTACTCAAAAGAAGAAAATTTTTCCATAATATATAAATCAACCGTAAGCGAATCCGATTTTGCTTATTAATGCTACATCGAAGCATACAGCCCGAAAAAGCTCGAAAGGAGGCAATAGTATCTTCATCCACTTCGGTTAAAGTGATATTTTTCACAAAAGGATGGACAAATCTTTTCAAAGGATAATTTTCTTCTGTTTCACAGTCTGAATATTTCCTGAAGATCACTTATTACGAGAAGCAGAATTTCTTCAAGATGCATGAAAAAAAATTTAAGAAAAAAGAAATGATAAGGAACAAATAATCTTGTCAACGTGACAAGTAAGTTCTTTTTTTATCATGATTTGGAAAGCAAATATTTATTTTAGATTACAATATTTCACCTGTTGCCATTATTTTCAATTGATAAGCTTTTGATGAAACGACTGAAAAACTTTCTTAGCGAGCAACGCCGACCTTTTGATGTTTCCAGGAATGGAATTCCAAAATCGATCAGTGGAGAAGGTGAAAGAGTGGATTTCTTCAAACGGTTACAGAAACTGTCCTGAAAATTTCTGCATCGAACTAGAAATAATGGAAATCGAAAGCACTTAAGATTTTGTATATCTAACTGACTGGGGGAAAATCTCACAAAAATGACCTTGTTTATATCCAGTTCAGCAGAATTAACGGAGCAAATATCACAGTCGACAGACCGATTTGTCAGAGTTGTACCACAGCTGGACAATAGTTTTACTTCAAGATGATTGGAATACAACATCAGAATTGCATAATGTAATATCCTCTTAGCTGTTCTCAAATCTCTTTTTGAGTTACCCCGCAACAACACAGAGCAGCCCAATTCTGGTGGGCATTCCTCAAACATCTGAAAAAGTATGCCGCTATCCATTTTCAATATTATGAAATTATATTTCTGAAATTCTTGTTGCTCAAGTTACAGAAACATGAACAGCAGAAATCTCGGAAGTATAATTCTCCAAACAAATTTTACTACTTGTTATTTCTTTATTTTCCTTCCTTTCACAACCGATAAAAATCCATAGAATTTCTATCTCAAAAGTGCTTTAAAATTTAAACGACAATAATTTTGATTAAAAATGACTCATACCAATAAACATTTGTATTTTCCGCTCGCTAACTGAATTTTCTCTTGTCGAAAAAGTGGACAAAATCCAATCTTTTGGTTCAGAATTTGTGCATCAAGTGAAGGCATCACATCGGCTCCAGTACTTCTTGCAATTCTTTGCAAAACACGTGGTTTAATGTTAGAAACTAGTGTGACTCCAGCATGCAATAACATCTGTACAGCTAAACTAGCTACATTGCGCTCAACCAGTACTACTGATGGTCGATGTGAAAGCATTCGCTCCACCTGATTTCGTAAATATTCGCTCTCCTGTAACTAATTCCTTATTGTAAAGAATAACGATAAAAATTTTATAAAAGCGTAAATTTTGACTTGGAACTAAAAATAAAACATATTCTGGAAAGTTATATGTTACATGTATTTTGTAGCGACAAAATTCAAACCGTACTTTTAGCAGCAATTTTAAATTTCCAAAAACCTGAATCATTCAAAATTTTACCTGTGAAATTATTGGTTCAATTGAAGAAAGCTTGTCGTTAACTCGTTCATATTCGATGCTCCCTTCCAAGGTCAAAACTGATGCATTACGAATCTCATTTGGCATTGATTCATGGCGGATGCTTTTGCTGCACACTGTCCCCTCTATTACCTGGAATAAATACAGACCGAGATATTGCTAGTAACAATCCCTCATAATCATGATCACTGTCTGTAAAAATAAAGTCAAAACTTCTAATTCCATCTGCTTCCACATGCATAATTTGCAATCAGCTATCTATAGTAAATTGCTGTTCTTATTGAGCAAAGTAATATCTTTCAGAGTTACAAATAGTTTTTAGGTTTTTAGGTTTTTAGGTCCTTTTTCAAATTAGTCCGGGAATGAATAAGTACATTAATATTATCATTAGTAACTACTTATTAAAGTGATATTACAAACTAACCTTTGCAGAAGGCTTTTCAACTGCAACATGAAGGCTTTTTATGTGAGCATGTTTCATAACATTAACATTTTTTCGTCCTTCCATATCAACTTTAACCATTGATGATACAACATGACTCACGGACCATATGATCTCCCACCACCTAAACCTTTGTTTTATAGATCTTTCCTCACTAAATAATATTTATATGTTAATATATAGGATATTTCGTCTCCATAAGTGATGGATGAAATGCTTTTAGCAGAATGTCAAAATAAAACTGAATTCAAATTATAAGATTAAGAAATTGAGACAATCTACTCTCTCGGATCCAATCCCTCGCGATTGAAAAGATGTAAAATAAGTTTTTCGGATTGAATTTCAAAACATCTTTCAATTGTTTCACTAAAACGAGGGTCTTCATTTCCAGCTTTTGATAGTGAAGTTTTTGGAACGGTCTGTTCATTATCCAGTTCGGCACCGTGAAAGTTCAACCTATTCTCGGTATTAATATCATCCTTTTGTGATGCTAAGTGTGAATAATCCATGGGTTCTGATTTCTGCAAGAAATTGTGTCCAGTTCAATTTACTCAAATAACTGCGAGACTAAATTTAGCAGAATTAAAAAATAGATTAAATTTAGCAGAATTAAAAAATATTTAAAAAATTTCCACTGGAAAAATATAAAATTAAAAGAATATTGGCAACATTTGTGGCTAAATGAAAAGCGTGAAATTCGTGAAAAACAAGAGTGGAAGTAAAATTACACATAAAAATAACCACAACTCTAATCGCAAAGATATCCACCGTTAGAATGTTTCCTCAACAGAAAAATACTAAATCTTAGTTGTTTTTTATATTTGTTTTTAATTTTCAAACAACAAACCAAATTTGATGAATCCACCGGCTTCACATTATCAGTCATTTCAATATTTTTTACCCATTCGGGTTCAACATCATCGCCAACATCTTGAGTACCCGAACACTGAATATCTGAGTTATACATAGCTAATTCCGTTACAGAAAGTTGAGTAGGAGAATCAAGTTTCATCGGAGATTTTCTTGGAACTGTGCAGTGAAGTGATGTTCCATTTTCACTATCTTCATCCGCAATAACAGGTGAATTTAGTGACCAGGATACTGGCCCTACAAAATGTAATGTATAAATATTTATTTCATCATAAGTCAATTGATAACATTTATTATCAAAAAGTTCTGAATTATCAAAATCAATGATAGAATTTAGCAGACTCCATTTCAACAGTTTAAAAAGCCTTATGATTTTGTCGTCAAATCTCTTTCAAACTAGAAATACCATACCTGTAAAAATCGTGGAGACTGAGATGTCTGCTTCATTTACCGATTTTTGGTCAGAAGCTGGTGAACTGGGTCTGTCCTCTAGTTTTGATTCTGTCTGTGGTAAATTAGAAACTACAATATGTGCGCAGTAAGTACATAGTCTTAACTCGCCCGTATAACCTGTAAAATTAATTATGAGATTTGTAGTTTTTTTCTAAATTTACAATAATTCTACAAATTGTGTTGCTCATCCAACCTGGGCATCTCATTACTATGCAGAGACAATCACTGAATGAGAGAGACATATTTAAATTTATAAGAAAATTGATAAAAATTACAACAGCTTAACTAATTTACTATTACTGTAAAAATTTTAAAGATGAACTGGCCATATATTCCCAAGGAACCCGTTTTTATCTTCGTTACCAGGATATAAACTGAAAGCTAAATTTTTTTCTACGCAGATATGCCATCAATATTTACTCAAATCGCTTCAGCAATAAGACACTATAAGAAAAGAATAAAACACCATATTCTAAATAAGAAGAATAATTCAGGCAGACCCAATAATGATCCAGAGACCTGGACACCACAACATTTCGAACAAAATATTTGCCCACATAAACGACAATGATGCCGCCTTCTGAAAGCAGTAAAACGTTCCTGACATTCGTAACATTCTCGCCCACTTGAATCTGGCATCCAGTAACGTCGAAAATCACTCCTACAAATGATTTATGAGCGGATAAATGGAAACTTGCCAAACCATAAAATATTATTTCCGAAAACCGCTGCTAAAGGACACTTCGATAAATTAACCTTTCATAATCCAGAAGATCAGGATTTCGCCCTTTGAAGACGGAAGCAAAACGAACATATGGTCTTTTTCTTTCTTCCACAGTATCACTACTGTTTTCATTGTTTTCCTTTGAATTTATACCAGCCCTTTCAGCTTCATTTTCTAAACATTCTTAAACATGACAAACAAATAGTTATTAAAACGCATTATCAGTTACTGATATCGTGATTTTTGTGTATTCAAATTGTGCGCAGTAAAAGTTAAATAACAAACAAATTGCTGCTTTTACTACTGGAAGAGAGAAGTTAAATCATTTAAGAATTCGTCCACTATTATGATTCTCTTACACAAAGTTAACAACTATGAGACCACTATTAGTAAAATAAGCAAAAGGAATTTAGATGCCGGTAAATATGCGTCAAAATAAGGAAAATTTTTACCTGCAGAAACATTTGGTGTCCCTCCTACTTCTTCATGTTTGGACTGGTTGCAGCTTTCGGATTGTGATATCGATGTAGCGGTTATATCTGCGGCATTTCCTGTTACGCTAATGTCTTTGAATGACTTGAAAATTCGATTCAAAAAGTTGCCAAAAATACCGGATGAAGCAGACGCCACGGCTTTCACGGTTTCATCACTCATTTCTTCCGGATGAGGTGCAAAATAAGTGAAGCATGTAGCATTATCAGTTGGTTTATCCATGCCTTGAAATTCTTGTTGCATTAAAGCTACCTTAACATCGTAAAATGAAATTTCACTGAGTGAAGTACCATTGATAGCCCTATTCACGAGAAAGCTATCCG